GGGGGCAGCACTAGCCACCTCAGTTATAGCACACCATAAAGAGACTGCTTTTCCTAAGGGAAATGTCACCCTGAAGCCAGGGCACAAGCCTGCCTTTCTCCCTCCACCTCTTCCACCCCCTTTCAGTGCCCCACCCCCCTACAGAAGTTCACACAAGTCAGGAACAAAAAGCCAACTGTTTATTTACACTGTGGTCTGTACATTACAGTTCCTTGGAAGGTGCCCACACTGAAAGCCTGTTTCAGGAGAGAACAGGCTGGAGGCAAACAGTTCAGGGCCTGGGACTCACCCCTCTCCCCTCCCTAGGGCCTAAAGTGGAAGTTCCTTTCCAACCCCAAAGCTAAGGCCATTTGCAATTACTGGCACCCGGGCAAAGCCCCAGATGTAATCACTGGAGAACCAGAACCCATCGCCTGTAGCTTCTTCCACCTGGGCCCCACAAGGCCCAGCCCCAGAGCATGAAGACGTCCTCAGCACGCGCTGTCCCATCCCGGTCCTGACATCAGTCTGGTGATTAACGGCACTCTGGTCTGAGCACCAGCAGACAAGGAAGGGCTGGACAGGTGATAATAGCAGGCAGGGACAGTAGCAAATGACTTCCTTCAGCACACACGGGGGAGACACCAGACACAGTGGCCCTAAACCCAAAATGTATTGCAAAGCACTGGCTGGGGCTTCCTCCAGAAGAGCCCTTCATGGAGCCTTGCAGACCCGCAACCTCCCTGCTGGGGCCAGTGCCTCAGGTGAAAGGTGATCTGTCTTCTATAAATATCCACACCCACACAGAAGAGGTTTGTGGGAGAAGCTGGTCCACACAAAGCTACCCTTGTCTTGGATGCAGGGTTTCTAAACTAGCTTCAGGTACATAAGGACTAAGTGTTCCCTATGCTTAAGACTGTAACAAAAGATCCTGTACAAAATGTACCAAGTCAACAGAGGCTGGGGACCTATGGGGAAGCAGGGCCTGACTGGGGGCAGCAGGAGTAAAGGGTCTGCCAGCTGGCCTCAGTGGAGGCACATGGCTGCACACGTGAGTACACACAGGACCGGGGAAGACGGGTAAGGGGGTGTACAAAAGGGGGCAGTGGGTAACAGAGAATCCTGTGTGGTGGCCACAAGGGAAAAAAGGCACAAGGACCCCAAACCATGCAGACAAAAACCAGCTGTGCAAAACAGGAAAGCAGACAGTCCCAACAACAGGCAGGGCCATCAGAACTTAGGCCTGTAAGAGCAGTGGCCTGGAATGCTGCCCCCCAGCTGGTACCTCTGGGATAGACATCCCTGCATTACAGTCACAATGGGAAGAGGAACCCACAAGGACAGTACATCAAAGATACCCAGCTCCTGGTGAATAGGGTGACAAAGACTGTCACCTTGCTATGCTTTCAGAAACAGAGCCTCTAGAAGTGGCTCTCTTAGCTGAGCAGCTAAAAGATGCCACCTGACACAGCTACCCTAACACACCCATGCAGATTGAAGTCAAGATGGAAGTCAGGACAGGAAGGCCCTCTGAAGACTTGACCACTCTAACTTGAGGCCTCTTGGTGAGCACATGTTAGAGATGCCAACCTGAGGAGCTGCCACAGAGGCAAGTCCTTCGGCTGCAGTGGGAGTTGGGGTAGGAGGAAAGATTGGGGAGAAGGAGCAGCGCTGAAGCCCTAAAAAGAGCTTCACCTGGACTTTTACAGAATCACTGGGCATCTGTCGGGCTGGCCTGGTGATTACCCTAAACCTTTCCCAGGTCCCATCAGTCATGTCTACAGACAGGTGTAAATTTGCCAGCTTTCTCAGGCCTTGCTGTAGAGCCTCCAGACCCCCTACTGAGCCCAATGTGTAATGATACCCCCTGAACTAGTATGGATCACAACTCAGTCCTCGTAGTGTGAACTGGGTGCTGATTTGGCACTGACAGGGAAGCAACTGGGATAGCCTTACTGCAGTCAGAAAATAGACAAAAATCCACAAAGGCAAGGAGCCATTGCACCCAAAGCGGTGGTCAAGGCCCAGCTCTTACCTGATTATCTGCTCCCACTTTACATGTTTCCTGTGACTCCCCACTTTACATGTTTCCTGTGATGCTAGGGGTCCCAGGCAGGGGACCACTAAGGGATACAGACTTCCAGGCTAGTGAGAGCAGCTGGATTCTCTCCTGGTGCAAGGACTACTCAGTGGCATAATTACCAAAAGCCATCCATCTTCCATCACCCCAGTCAAAGGCAAGCTACTCCAGCCCTATTAGAGTTATGAGACATTTCATGTGGTTTCTCTACTTGAGCCAAAGACCTTCTAGGACAGGAGCCCCCACCTGGAGCTGTGCATGAACAGCACTGGGGAAAACCAATGCAGATGTAGGTACTGAACCACCCACGCTACCAGTTACATAGAAACTCAAAGTTAGTTTCCTATCATCAAATTCTTTTCGTGCTGCCGGGGACTAAACCTCACACTAGGCACTCTACCACTGTGCTACATTCCCAAGCCTTCCATCAGATTTATTTCAGAACCTCCTCAGGTGACACCAACACACAGGCAAATTGGCAAACCCAATCTCCAGTCCTAGTGCTCTGCTTGTACTTGAGCTTTGTGTTTTTAGTGTGTCAGAAATAAAACTTTACAAAGGAATTTCCTCTGTGGAATCTCAAGGAAAGTACCAGTCTGAAGTAAAATCTAGTCAATTCAAAGCTAAAAGGAAACAAAGGCAGGAAGACATTAGTTCATTCTGTTTGGCTTCTAATGGAATACAAGGACGGTTTAGCATCACATAAAAAGTGCATCCCCTGCCTGGCCCCAACCTACGATCTTGGCAAGTTACTGCTGACCCTTCCCTGAGGGAGCTGTCCAATTTGGCAAAAGCCAACACCCCTTCACAGGACACTTGGCTAAATTAGTATCACCTGGGGCATTCTTAAAACATTCCAAGGCCTAGGCCACACCTGTACCAACTGTTACAACATGTGAGGATCAGAATATTAAAAAGCTCCCAAAGCACTGACTATGGAATGGGACATTGTGATTCTAAGAGTTAAAACCACTTGTTTACCTGAAATTCAAATGTAACCGAATGCCAAATCTAGACACAGGAAGTCAGGGGACAGCTTACCCATGGGCAGTGAGCCAGGGAGGCAGCAGAAGCAAAGCTCAAAGTTCTGCAGTCCCCATGAGTGATGTGGCACTAGAGCCCTGGGCTTGCAAGCCCAGAACCTTTTAAAAATGAAGTGAGTGTGGTGACTCATGCCTGTAATCCCAGCACTTTGGAGACTAAGGCAGGAGGATTACCTTGAATTCCAGGGCAGTGTAAGACCTTGTCTCAAAAGATAAAAATCTACTGCCACCACTACAAGAAACAATGAACATGATCTTAGGCCAACTTGACAACGTTTTCGAAGTGTATTCTGGCTGAGGAAGGCTGGATTATCCTAAAGTATGTGTTGCATGGAAGCCAGGTCCACCCTCAGAAGTCACTCTTCCAGAGGCCTATAGCAGGTCCCACAGGGACCTCCAAACTTGTCATTTCCTCAGAGAGTCTATTTTTGCAGCCCAACAATGTGGGCCAAAAGCCTTCTGTGCCTGTTGCCTTGACAGAAATTCCTTCTTCTTCTGCTCTGCTGTGACTCTGGCCTCTGTGGCCCTCACTGAACACTTACACACTAGTGAAACTGGAGGCCTGTACAATTTCAAGTACAAAACACCCATCCCTGAGGCAGCTCCCACAGGCCAGGACGACACCCAGCTGATCTCTGCCATGCTCCTTCCAGCATGACACCTGGACCAACCTCAAGCCATGGTTTATTTTCCCTTCCTACTGACATATCCTCAGGAGACACCTACCTAGCCTTTCTCTATCTTCCCAGACCCCAGGGAATACCCACAGGGACCTGCACCTCAAGATCAAGCCTTCTTGTCTTCCTGGTGTGGCTCATCCAGGCAGCCCAGGGCAAGGGGACACACCCACCATCTACGAAGCACGAGACAACTCTGTGTAGATGATTAAAACGGATCTGAAAAGCCAAGGAAAGCAGGAGTGAACTAGAATGAAACTGGCCACAGCCCTGTCTCTACCAAGCAGGGCAAATACCCCGAGTTGTCTCTTTGCCCTCAACTGCTCTCCCTTCACTAGCATCCCCAACATGCCCAAACCTTCCTTTTTACACAAGATGTGCTCAAGAAAACAAATGGAAGGGAAAGAGGTAAGACCATCCCTGTTTATCTGGGCTGGAGATAAGGAAGCCAATCACAAACCACGTAAAACTGAGATAAACCACCAAAGGTCCAGGTACAGCATCTATGCCTGGACGCCTAAAACAAAACATCACATTCTTAAAAAATATGGGGGGTGGGAGGGTCCCCACCATGTATTCACAGAATGGAAGACTAAGGTTCCCCAGGATGCTCTCCACTGGACCTCACACCAGCAGTGTCTGCTCTAACAGGGGACCAGATCCAGGTGTGCCTGAGAGCTGTAGGAAGGGGTGTGGCTACCTCCCCAGGCCTGCCCTCCCGCCAAGGTGCACCTGTGTTAAGATGCAGCCATGGGAACATGTCTCCCAGGCAGTCACTCCCTTTGGCCCCCAGTGTTAACACCTGCCTTGGGCACCCCACCCTTCTTCTTGGCCTTCCTTCCACCCCAAGTAAATGCTGTGTATATTTGTCTTCAAAACAAACTGAAGCCAAACCAGAAAGGGGAGGTAGGCGAGCAAGGCTGGTAAGGGCATGGAAAACTACAAAGGACTCAACCCAAAGGCAGGGACAGTGCACACGAGCTGCTCTGTAAACCCAGGTCTATTGG